ACATGACACACGTACTGTCATCTGTATCTTTAGCATTGACATCACATTTCATATCATTTATTAGAAATGTGACCAATTGAATATTACCACTCTCACAGGCATAATGCAATGGTGTCCTGCCGTTATTATTTTTATGTTTGAGAATATTGTCAATCACTTGACTTCCATTTTGTGATGTTAAATGTTTTATAATGTACTGGACCAACTCCTTCCTTCCTTTTAAACATGCTATGTGAATAGGAGCCATTCCCTCATCATTCACAGCACACAGATCTAACTGATGATTCTCTACCAGATGTTTGAGTATAGGAAGAGAGCCACTGTACTCACAGGTAATGTGAAGAACTGTTGATCCATTAGAAGTCTTAGCTACTACATTACACTGAGGAAGACTAGTGAGATAAAGTACAACAGGAACATGGCCTCCTTCACATGCTTCATGAAGAACTGTACTACCAGTATCAGTGTTAGTGGCATTAACATCACACTGATACTTGTTGATCAGTTCCTGTAGACAATGTAGCTTACCATTATAAGCAGCTGAATGAGCTAGTGTGTACTTGTTATTGTCAGTGTGATTAGTAATATCCACACTATACTCCTGACTGTACCATTCCAGTATATGAGTATGACCAGTCTGTGCTGCTGCATGTAATACTGAGAATCCAGTGTTATTAGTACTGATAGGCTCAAGCTTATACTGTTGTATTAGTAATTGTACTAGATCAAGATTACCTGAGAAACAGGCATACATGACACACGTACTGTCATCTGTATCTTTAGCATTGACATCACATTTCATATCATTTATTAGAAATGTGACCAATTGAATATTACCACTCTCACAGGCATAATGCAATGGTGTCCTGCCGTTATTATTTTTATGTTTGAGAATATTGTCAATCACTTGACTTCCATTTTGTGATGTTAAATGTTTTATAATGTACTGGACCAACTCCTTCCTTCCTTTTAAACATGCTATGTGAATAGGAGCCATTCCCTCATCATTCACAGCACACAGATCTAACTGATGATTCTCTACCAGATGTTTGAGTATAGGAAGAGAGCCACTGTACTGACAGGTATTGT